TTCGCCTCTCCTCAGAGGCCGCAACTGGCGGGACGGCCCGGGGCCTCCTCCTCTCCTCGGGGACCGCACTGGCGGGACGCCCCAGCCCTCCTCCGCCTCTCCTCCTCCGCCTCCCCCGGGGACCGCGCTGGCGGGGCGCCCCAGGCTCGCCCTCCTCCCCTCCGCCGTCCCCGGGGGCCACCACTGCCCCCAGGCCAATGCCCCGGGACTGCGCGCAATCCCGCGCTGGCCCCCTCAGTGGTGGCACCCCGCGGCGCGAAACTTTGAACTCCAGTTGCCTCCCTTCAGGAAGCCACCTCTCCCTTCACATCGACAGCCGCTCCTTCTCCACCCGCCGTAGCCTTGTATCCCACGTGCAAGGTTGCGACGGACTTCGCCATCGCCTCCGACACACCGGCGGCGCCCTCGTTAGCCCCCCACAGGTACTGGTGAAAGGCGCCGCTGTTCCACCGCCCCCACCGCTTCACCAGCTCTGCGTCCTGGAAACAATGGCAGAGGGCGGTCGCCCCGCCAATACGGAGCGAGTGGCTCTTGAACCTGTCCGGCGGGTAGCCCTCCAGCGCTGCCGCCTTCTGGAGCAAGCCCTGGATACGCCCCCGCGTGATCGGGCTGCCGCCCGCCCACCTCGCCAGCGGCAGGTGCGCCTCTTTGCCCGAGATGCGGCTCGGGAACCAGCGGTTGTAGCACTCCGCCGTCCACACTGGGCATATGCCGATCGGGTCGTTCGAACGGCAGCGGTTCCTAGCCTGCCCTGCTCCCTTCTGGTCGGCCTTCGACGACTTGAACCACAGCACCACCTCGTCCGCCGCGGCGAAGTGGCCCACCTGCTCGCCCTTGCACTTCGGGGCAATGTCCAGTCCAGTCAGGACCTTCTTCGAGTCCCAGTGCCCCGAGTGAGCCCCCCCCCCGATCCGCACCATGAAGAAGAAGGCGAAGATCACGCAGAGTGGTTAGGTGCCGAATGACCAGGAAGTGGCTACAATTCAAGGCGTGGATAAGGAAAGGGGCCGCAAGAGCTGATTTGTCTAAGGATTTGTTTCGCGAGAGCTTATTCGTCTAAGGATGTTTTCGCAAGCGCTGATTTTTCTGTAAGTTCCGTTGCAATCCGAAGCAAATATACACGCTTTGCTTGTGCGTTCGGTTTTGCGCCCTTCGGTTTCAACGCAAGCGTTGTGCATCGTTGAACATCGGTCGTGCAAGCGGTTGCACGTGCATGTCATGTACGGGCGGCTCGTTTTCAAAATGTGGCCCTCGGTGTTCTGTGTGTCGCGTCGGGGGGGCTGTCGTCATCATCATCCCGCGCGGTCCGCCTGCCCTCCAATCCCTACGCTGTAAAACTACAGCCCCGCACCCGTTCTATTACGCAGGAAGGGGGCGACGATGCCGACGACGATCACCCCGACAAGAAGCGAGGACGAGGAAGGATAGGACGAAGAGGAGGAAACGGAGCAGGACGAGAAGGCGGAGGGGGGAGCAACGGGAGGACAGGGGACTCGGGAAGTGGAACGGGGTCCATAGACGAAGGTCTGGCAGCATAAACATACCACAGCAACGCGAGTGGAAGAAGGCGGAGGGAGAGAGAGAGAGAGAGAGAGAGAGAGAGAGAGAGAGAGAGAGAGAGAGAGAGAGAGAGAGAGAGAGAGAGAGAGAGAGAGAGAGAGAGAGAGAGAGAGAGAGAGAGAGAGAGAGAGAGAAAGGGGGAGGAGGGAAGAGGAAAGGAGACGGAGGAGGATGTTGAGGAGCAGGAGCGGTAGGACAAGGGAGAAGGGGGGGGGGCAGGGGGGGGCAGGGGGGCAGGAGGAGAGAGCAGGGAGCGGGAAGAAGTGCGGAAGACACCGCGACGATGACGATTCCGACGGCGGCGGCGGCGGCGGCGGCCAGCGGGGCCAGCGCGCCTCCGCCGAACACGAAGCCCGCCAGGGGCGGCGGGGGCGGGGGGGAGGCGCCCTCCTCCTCTTCTCTTTCCTCCTACTTCGTAGTTTTCCTATTCCTATTCCTAGTTGTCCTTTTCCTGCCTCCTTGTAGTCCTCCTCATCGTTGTTGTTGTCCTGGACCTCGTCCTACCCGTTGTTTTACTCCCCTCGCTGTTTCTCTCCGTGGTCAGTGGTCATCCTCTTTGTGTTGTTCCTACTCCTCATCCCCCTGTACCTTTTTGTTTGTTTCTAACTACGTGCATTTAAGTGTGTATGTGTTTGGAACTGTTAGTGTTTTGATGATTGTGTACCTAAATGTATTTAACTGTTCTTCCGACATTCGTGTACTCAAGTGCGTCGTTGATTTGGGAATGTGTTCGATAAGCTTCGCGCCACAGTGACTCGCAATTGGTTCGGATAACAACTCATTTATCAGGCGGCCTGAAACTCGATTTTGAGTCGATCCGAAATCAACGTTCGGAAGTAACCAGCTGGTTTCCATCACGTCTGAGCAGCAACTTGCACAGTACGATCAACCTGCCACGGGACTCTTACTCTGCCATGCCGTCGCACAGCAAACACACATCCAGGGGCATCGTTCAACGCAAAAATGGCGGGTCTGGCGGCCAGGGCGGCAGCAGCAGCAGTCGGGATCTCTAAACCATTCTTTACTCAATCTCACGATGCATCTTTGAAGTACTCGTCCAGCTTCATGCCGCGGTTCTCCCACTTGGGATCCTTGCCCTTGCTCTTGATCACCTCCATGTTGTACGAGTGAATGGCCTTGCGAACCTTTGGCTCGAGCTGCTTGGACGCGTCCGTGAACACAGGCACCGAGACGAGGAAGGCAGCGTCGGCGGCTTTGTCGAAAGCCCTGACTGTTGCTTTGGCCTTCTTGCCTGTCGGTTTGGGCTCGGCGCCGCCATCTGGCATGGAGCCCTTCCTATCATCTGCGTAGTACACCCACAGCACAATGAAACCGTCAGGCATGTAGAAGAACGAGAAGGGCTGCAGGCGAACCGCCCACGCATTCGCATCGAGGAAACTCTGGCCATCACTTGACTCCAAGTACTTCGCATACTCCTTGATGCAGAAGCCTTTCTCGAGGATGGGGCCAACCTCGGACAACTGGAAATGAACCGGCTTCTCTGTTGTATAGACCATGGCCGCGACGCCCGGCAGCGCGAAGGCGGAGGGCCCATGACGGCAGCAGCCCATGCGGCCTGAGAGCAGCCAGGGCTCGCACCCGTCTCCTGTGCCGACCTGGCCGAAGATGCGTTTGAGCTCCTCGGCGTCAGTCAGCCCCTCGCTGTTCGCGACGGCCCCTGCCCACGATGGATTGCTGGTCAGCGCAGCCTGCATCGCTGCCATCTTGTCTTTGACCACCTGGCTGTCGCCGTAGATCTTGGCGAGCTCTGCGATGGTCTCGTGCCCAGTGGGCCAAAACCCGAACCTCTCCAAGTCGACTTCCCCCTGCGGCTTCCCGATCTCCAACGACATGAAGGTCTGGCGGCCGTCGTCCTCAATCCCAGGGCATTGGGCGACGACGTCACCCTCGGCGCCCTGCAGCGCGTAGATCACCTGGCTCAACTTCTTGCCGTGCAGCTTGCCGAAGCCACCGTTGATCAGGCGCTTCTCGATGGAGTACTTGGCCCAGTAAACCTTCTGACCGTCCGCGCGCTCCTTATCGCGGACCTCCTTCACGCAGAAGTTCACGGCCGACCTGAGCTCGCCCCTCCTCTTGGCGAGGTCTTTCAGCTGTGCCTGCAGCGCCGCCACGCTGTCCATGCACCCGCTGATCTCGTGGGGTTTGACCTTTTTGGCGTTGTCCAGCTGCTTCTTGATATCATCGAGGGTCGCGCTGATGCCCCCCTCCAAGGCCGCGGGCTGCAAAGGGAGCAGGTCGCCGTCGATGGCCATCGCCTGCACGCTGGACTTCACCCCCTTCGGGGTGGATCCAATCGCGAGGAGCGCAAGGAGGAGCAGGAGGAGGGCTAGGAGGTGGAGGCGGAGTGGGCCTCGGGAGGGCCAGGAGGTGGAGGCGGAGTGGGCGAGAGGGAAGGGGAGGAGGTGGGGGAGGAGTTTGAGGAATGTCTCCAGATGGAGGTGCGATTGGATCCTCCCCGCCTTGGAGCTCCCGAGCTGAGCTGCCACGGCCGTCAAGGTCTGGACGAGGGACTGGCGCTGCTCGAGGAACTTGACGCCCTCGGTCTTCCCCTCGCCGTCGTCTGGAAGCGCAGCACCAGCAGCACCACTCTTGCTGCCCTTGAGCTTCTTGCCAGGCGGGTCGCAGTCATGAACATCGTCGCCCACTGGCCCCGTCCGCCCACGAGTGCGCTCTGTGCCGCAGGACGAAGACGGACCACCGCCGACGTCGCCACCGCCACCGCGCCCGGCCCCTTCCAAAGTCTGGTGGCCCGAGAGTCGGCGGTGACGGGGGCAATCTTTCACGCAGACCAGCTTGCGGTTGCAGGCGTCCGTCATGTCGTGAGCGTCCTCGACCACTTGGCGATCGCGCAGCTCGTCGAAGTCATCCGAGAGCTCAGCTGAGTCAAGATCGTTGTCAGACTCCTCCCTCCTCCACGAGTGTCTTAACATGCACGTGCCCCATCTGCATCAACACCCATGTCATTCCACAAGTGGAGTCGGGACGCATTGGAACGGCATGGGGTGGGTGCATGTGTGGCCCTGTGCATGTTGAGACCCTCGTGTCCTGAGCTGCTTGTACTTCCTCTTTGTCACGCCGACGTCGTCCTGCACGTCCACGGTCTGGTGGATCTTCGACTGCTCGGTGAAGTTCGCGGCGACGCGGGCCAGCGCCTTCTGTTGCGCCCTGTGATCGTCAGATCTGAAGAACTCTTGCCTGCGCCAGGTGCCAGGATCCTCGATCATCTGCTTTTTGTCGTCCACGACGTCCTGCTTCCCGTTGGGCATCTGCTGCAGGCGGCGGTGGTTGGCACGAACTTTGGCGAAGCACGCCTGGCCGAACATCACGCCCCAGGCTACCTTGTAGCACGGCTCCGAAGACTCGCATAGGCGGTGCGAGATCTCTTTCCCGGTTATCTCCTGCGACGTCCTCCTAGACATTGATGTCCGTGCAGGAAAAAGAAGAGCCAACTTCGCCAAAGGATTCTAACTCACGCCCCATCGTTCCTGCTCGAGTGGTCTAAAGCAAAATGCGGAGAAGAAACACGTGGAGTCCTCCAAGACCACTGATTCAAATTCAGCCAATGGCTACAAGGATAGAACAAACATGTGGTACATTGAAGCCTTGGACGCACTGGAACACAAACTTGCCAGAATTTATTCCCAGGCCGGCCACAAGCCGCGCCATCCGATCTCGAAGTTGGAAGCAACATAATGCGCGCGTCAAGGTTGGTGCCACGGTTATCCCCTCCTCGTGGGCCCTCCCTCTTATCATGCTTGTGTTTGCCGCCCCTCCTCCTGCTCCACGCCTCCTTCCCTCCTCCTCTCCCATCGCGTCTTCGTCCCCATCGTGTTCCGTGGTCCTCCTGTAGCCGTTGTCCTCTTAATTCTTTCGGTATTCCATTCCCCCTTGCCTTCCTCGAATTTACTCGTTTCCTCCCCCCCCCCCCCTTTCCAGCGCATCTCTGGCGTCACCCATAAGTGCACAAACCGATCCGCAGGGGCAAGCTCGGACAGTCGGATAGCACCGAGAAATCTGGAGTCGCCGCAGATTGAGTCGGGCACCGGAACGGACGCGGGGGCGACCCGCACGACGCAAAAGAGCCGTCGAGCCGACAGCGCGCACGTCCGAAGCTGCACAATGCTGTTTGGACTTCCCCAAAGAACTCGTAATATTAAGTGCTGCCCAACTACATTCATGTTCACTGGAGCGCACTGGGGGGGGGGGGGCATTCCGTTTCGAGAAGAGCACTGCGTGTTCACAGTATGCACGTTTAGGTGGGCTGCGGTTTTGGGGGAGGTGATGTATTTTATGTTGCGGCGTGGATTTCTTTTCTCGCGTGACCGACATCGGCGCCACCTCGCGCCCCTCGCGCGGGCTCATGGCCCGCGCGACGGGTGCGATGCAGCGCTGGTGTATTATTCTGCCACCCTGAAAGCGTGGAAAGTGAACATAAAAGGGGGTGGTTTGAGTGGAGCGCGCCACGCGTGCATGTGAGCCCCCAAGCCACTAGTGTATTGTTTTTCATGTTGATAGTGCGCCATTCGCCACGCAGGCGCGCGCGCGCGAACGCGCGCCTTCGTGCGCCCACCCGCGCGTGGACAACGCAGAACTCCCCTTGCGCGCGCGCGGCGTCGCGCGTGCGCGGGGGCGGCTGCATTGTCAGTGTCAGAAAACACAAGCCCGAACACATGTGAACGTGGAAATCCAATCGGTCACCGTTACGGGGTCACTTTAGTGCCCAGGTCCGCACGGCGACTTCTTTCGCGAGGACAACACAGAACTCCCCGCGCGCGCGCGGGTGACGCGCGTCACCCGCGCGCGTTCGTCGGCCACCGTTAAGGGTGTCATTCGGATTCCCCGGCCAACACGGCGATTCTTTCAGAGTGGACGGCACAGGGCTTTCAACGAACGCGGGCCGCCGCGCGCGCGGCGGCGCGAGCGCGCGGAGAGCTGCGCGTATTTTTTTCCTCGAGCGCGACAGTCAGCGCCACCCGCGCGCGCGCCGCGGCCCCGAAAACTGCGTGGTGACAACCCATCGTTTCACTCGTATTCTGAGTGACTCAGCGTGGAGCTCTACCTTGTGCAATAATTTGCTGAACTTGAAGTTGTCTTCTCCACTGCTCGCGCAAACATCCCGCCCACCCGCCCGCAACTTGGTTTGCAAAACCTGTTAAGACCGACTACGACGACACCGGCGACAACGACTAGGACGACACCGACGACGTCTCCGACGACTTCGACGACGACAACGACGCCGACGCCGACGACGACGAAGACGACGACGACGACGCCAACGAAGGCGACGACGAGGAAGGAGGAAGGACGACGACGGCGACAACGACGACAACGACGAAGGAGGAGGGAGGACGGTGACGACGCGAACGACGACGAAGGAGGAAGGACGGCGACGCCGACGACGACAACGACGAGGGAGGAGGGAAGACGACGACGACAACGACGACGACGACGGCGACGACATAGGAGGGACGACGATGAGACGCCGACGACGGACGACGACGACGACGTGGGAGGAGGAGGAAGGACGACCACGGCGACAACGACGATGGAAACGACCACGACGCCAAAGAGGACGACGACGACAAACAGGAGAAAAGACAGAGGACGACGTAGGCGACGACGACGACGACGACGCGGGAGGAGGGAGGACGGCGACGACGACGACGACGACGCAAGAGCGCGCGCGCACGCTTTTGTTGAAAATCCGTGTTGCGAAACCTTGGGTTCTTGTAGGTTTTTTGGACGCGCGACTTTGAAATCCTTCCGAAACCGATGGGTTTCGAAGGTTTTCGGCATACGTCCGCGACGACGCGCGCGTCTGCACTTCGTTCCGTTTTTTGCAGGGGATTCTCGCGACGGCACACGCGCAAGGGCGTTCGACAGATTTCGACATGCGCGCGCGAAGCCCGTTTGGTAGCATGTTGTGAAAATCTTACAAAAACTTATGGTTGTCTTAAGATTTCGCAAGAGCTCGCGCGGAAGTTGTTTTAGCAAACCAGTGTTGCGAAACCATGTGTTTTCGTATATTTTTCGGAAACTCGATTGCGAAATCCTTCCGGCACCAAAGGGTTTTGAAGGATTCCGGCATGCGCGCGCGACGACGCGCGCGCGTGCACTTCGTCCCATTTTTTTGCAAGGGATTCGCGAAAAAGTGTTATGTTAGAAAGAAAAATCTCCCCGCATAGTGTTATTTGACAGGGAACCGCAGGGGGGGGGGACCCGGCCTGGCTGGGATGGTATGAATTCATACTTAGGATGGACATGTGGTCAGACTCATATATGATTTACAGCACGCGCGCGGTAACCGAAAAGTCCGGGGGGGGGGGGTAGAATCTATTAATCTTTTAGAAAGGAGAATCAATCGACTTCCCTTATCGCCCGCGCGCGCAAGCGCGCGCGCGTGCTCTGGCGCGCGCGCAGCGCAGAAAACATTGACGAGTACCCGTCTTACTTTCGAAAACAGAATGGTGAAAACCAATTATGTCTTTCGTGTTCTGAGGCCCAAGCATGGAATTCTATAGTGTGAAACAATAAGCGTTCCTCATCGCGCGCACGCGCGCGCGCTCTGGCACCCGCAACACAGCAAGCATCACACCATGCCCATCTTAAGTTCGATAACTGAATGGTGAAAACCAACTGCCCCACTCGTATTCTGAAGGCTCTAACGCGGAATTCTGCACCGCGGAACAAGTCGCTTCCTTTATCGCGAGCACGCGCACGCGCGTACGCGCGCACGCGCGCGCGCTCTGGCGCGCGCAATACAACAACCAATACAGAAGCCCCATCTTAACTTCAAACACTGAATGGTGAAAACCAATTGTTTCACTCGTAGTCTGAGGGCCTCAACATGGAATTCTGCATCGTGAAACAAATCGCTTCCATCGTCGGGCGCGCGGCGCGCGCGCGCGCGCAATGCCACCGCCAATACAGAAAGCCCCGTCTTAAATTCGAAAACTGACTGGTGAAAACCAATTGTTTCACTCGTATTCTGGGTGCCTCGACGTGGAATTCTACCTTGTCGGGCGCGCGCGCCGCGCGCCCGACGATGGAAGCGACTTGGTTCTCGATGCAGGATTCCATGTTGAGGCCCTCAGTATACGAGTCAAACAATTAGTTTTCACCAGTCAGTTTTTGAAGTTAAGATGGGGCTTATGTATTGGTTGTTGTATTGCGCGCGCCAGAGCGCCCGTGCGCGCGCGTAGGCGCGCGCTCGCGGTCAGGGGCTCATTGCTGCACACGATAGAACTCCATGGTGAGGCCCTCAAGATACGAGTGTCATTCTTGGTTTCCATCATTCGGCTCTCGACCAGACTTGCGTTACATGCAACGCTTACGAAACGCACTGTGGCTGGAGCTGTACACTTTGTGATTGCAGGATCCTTCGTCTTTGATGTGGTTTCGGACACTGTGCACCGTATCTGCCGAAGGCGCAAGGGTCGCGCTGCGTGCGGTACTTGGCCATGCTGGGTCGGTTCGGTACGCGTCCTTTTCCTGGGCGGCGCGCAGATGCTGAACGAGCTGGACAGGATGGACCACGGGTGGAATGGGTGGCTCAAACATGGTGCACGCGTGGTTCCTGTATGGTTCCAGGATGGTTGCGGGGTGGTCCGCAGCTGGCTCGCGGAGGGCGCATGGATGGTTCGGAAGTTGGGTCGGTCGGGCCATTGGTGGCACGCGTGGTTCAACAGTGGTTCACGCGTGGTTCCAGGGTGGTTCCAGGATGGTCCTGGTGTGGTTCGCACCTGGTTCGCGGGGGGTCACATGCATGGTTTGGGCATTTGGCAAGGTGGACCACTGTCGACACGCGTGGTTCAAAAGTGGTTCACGCGTGGTTCCAGGATGGTTCCAGGGTGGTTTTGGGGTGGTTCGCATTTGGTTTGCAGGTTGCGCGTGCATGGTTAGGGCATCGGACGTGGTGGGTCAGTGTCGACAGGCGTGGTTCACATGTGGTTCACGTGTGGTTCGAGGGTGGTTCCAGGATGGTTTTGTGGTGGTTCGCATCTGGTTCGGAGATGGCAGGTGTATGGTTCGGGAGCTGGTTCTGGAGGGTCACTGGTGGCACGCGTGGTTCAAAAGTGGTTCACGCGTGGTTCTAGGATGGTTCTAGGATGGCCCTGGGGTGGTTCGCATCTGGTTCGCGGGGGGTCACATGCATGGCCTGGGCAATGAGCAAGATGGGGCACTGTCGACACGTGTGGTTCAAACATGGTTCACGGGTGGTTCCAGGATGGTTCCAGGGTGGTTCTGGGGTGGTTCGCATCTGGTTCGTGGGTGGCACCTGCCTGGTTTGGGCATTGGGCAAGGTGGGCCACTGGTGGCACGCGTGGTTCAAATGTGGTGCCGTGTGGTCCGAGGGTGGTTCCAGGATGGTGTTGGGGTGGTTCGCGCCTGGTTCGGGGGTGGCAGGTGTATGGTTCGG